ATATTCCTAGAAAGGTAGGGCAGTCATATAAACATATTAAAACACAAGCCCTAATACCTACCCTCATGCTTTGCGTTTTTGGGCCACATATCTTTCGCAGCTTTGCCTTCTTGTGCTGGCATAAAATATATAGCAAAATAGTGCCGCTTCTTTTCTGTTGGAATTCCTTTCTGATTCTGAAATTGTGATCTTCTCATTGTCAGCAAAATAGATTGTCCTGTAGCTTTCCCTTTATAACTGTCACAATTTTCATAATGAGGGTGTTTTGCACAAAATGAAACGTTTGCTTCTATAGGTCTAAGGATAGTGAACAGTAGTGTTACAAATTTTCTACTGTACCTTTATTTGCTTTGTGTAAAAGCTCTATGAGGGACACAAAAGGATCTTCTCAAAATCTATTCTTGATATGTTTTTGGAACGGTGCCAAACAAAGACGCAAGCACGGAATATTTTCTCTTTTTTTAAACCATTTTTTTCGTAAATTCGAAGGACAATTTGAAAATATGTGCGGCGTTCAGTACCTGAAACCATACTCGTATCCTTGCTGTATCGTTCGGTTTAATAAAACCAAGAGGTGGTTGAACGCGAAAGTGCAGATTTGAGGTACATTTTACCTGAAAAAATTGCTTCCACTTTTTTAAAATTTGATAGCAATCGCTTAGTGGTTGGTTGCTTACCTTGAACGTTTTCTTTTCGTTGGATGGATTCTGTATCTTGATATCACTCCAGACTGGCTTGTGCTCTTCGGGAACTTTGAAGATTACAGACTTTCCTTTCCCGAGAGTTTCTCTGAAGCAACGATGTGCTTATTTTTTGTTTTGGTTTACATTACGAGAACTGACGCAGATTTTCCCAGCACGTGTGATTCCTCTTGCTCGTCCCCTTTCGCTTGTGCCTCCTCATCTTTTGCCTCCTTTTCCTTATCCTTATCCTTGTCTTTATCCTCTCCCTCTTCCTTCTTTTTCTCTTCCTTTTCTTTGGATTTATCTGATTTCTCCTCTGCTTCTGATGGCGATTTTGATACCCCTGCTCTACTTCTTCCTTCATTGGCTCCTAGCGGTGCACATGATCCATTTTGTTCTCCTAAAACTCCTGATTACACAGCTGTAGTCGTTTTGATTTTTTAAATTAAATGGCCCTGCATATCTTTTGCTTCTTCACCTGAAGGTCTCATGATATTGTTCTTCATGTCGCTTTGTGCATTCTTGGGAAAGTTCACGCC